GACATGGTATCCCTGTGTATAGTATGCAAAGCGGTGTTGTTATGAGCACATGCGTCAWTAATAGTCGTCTATAAATGGCGTCGAAGTTGAAAATAGCAAGTAAACAACCAGAATTAGAGCTTATATAATGATAGTAGACTAATTGTTAAAGTTATACCGCTGAGGAATGCATGCGGTCCAAGGAGAACTTTGCATCAACAGCACATTTTGTAAGGAATATTATTTAAATTTGACRAGAACTTGACATTTGCAGGAAGTGGATGCCCTCATTGGACCGTAACAATTGATATCGTACGATGTATAGTACGACTATGACTTCAAAGGATATTTTTAACTTGCATGTTTTTGAGCATTGGTACTATCTATGCTGATAAAGTGGAACCTAAAAGTCTGGAAAACAGTGTTCAAACATGCCACCGATACTGCATTTTAGTGGGTTTGATGTTAAGAGTTAAGCTTAAGTTAAGCTATAGTTAAGTTAACTGCACAAGAGTATTAATTTTAAGAAGTGATTTTTATATTCAACTACTGAACAAAGAAACTGTTGAGATGGAAGAAAAAGAAAACTCAGAAGACGTAGAAGAAGAACAAAGTTTGTATGATAGTATAAATGACTTGATTGCACAGCTGTGGTATCARCATGGGTTATTTTGCGCCTCGCATCCTAAACTGATCATATTTTTCTCATCGATGGTGATCTTAACGTGCAGGTGATCATTATGCATTGTACTGCTATCTGTATTTGCATTGTACAATATGATGYCATTGATGTTGGTATTTATATTGAACTTTTTTTCTTGATTGTTTATACACAACTGATTGCAAAATCCTTTTTATAGAGAAATAGACATATGTAATTTAATATAAAGGAATGAAGCAAAATGACAGTACTCAACATGACTGATCTTGCTTTGTCTTTTTATATTCCTATTTTCTTAAGTACAAATGTTTTATTTCTCTATGATAATATTTATTAGATTTACACACTATGACAATTTGTCATAATTAAGTATAAACCATCATTCTACCAGGCAGATTAGAAATGATCATATGAGAGCAAATATTACAAGACCTTGTCACTGTAGTAATAAGTGGACATCTCTCATCACAATAGGTTATTGTGATGCAAATAAAGAAGCTGAGTATTGTAAAGCCAAGAGATTATAATTGTCAAAATAATAGATCTATTCTTTTCTATTCTTTTAGACATCTGCAGTTGCTGTCCATCTATCTCTTCTCTTCAATTCCCAGCATTATTTTTATGAAAATGTTTAATTTGTATTAACTTTTTATGTAATAGTGCACCACTTTTTGGATCATCTGCATTCAGCATYCCAACAACTGTGGAAAGCACAACTACAACAGCATTGCACTCTGGGAATGAATCATCTTTACCTCATTGGGTAATAAAAWCATGTTTCCGCAGTTGACTTTTCTCAAAATTCCAGTRCAAGAGAGCTTATAGGCTCTAATATAATGTGTAAATTGACTGATTGTCCTAGTGTTTCCTATAAATGAGGATTCCCACCTTTACTGTAATTTTAAGAACAGTCAAAAAGCCAGCGCAGCATGAGTATATTAGGTAACATATCATTGTCAATTATTTTCTTGTAACAGTTCGATGGCAAACCCTTTATGTATATAATCCAATTTGTCCTTACTGCCAAGCTACCTGCAGTATTTCCAACACAAAGTCATGATGGTATACGGCAAGCATTAAAGCCTGCACTCTACGTCACAAATTTTATATCTGATTTTAAAGACAAAGAAAGGTAATTTAAATTTTAAAAAGGGATTCATCTTTTATTGTGTTGTTTTATAATATAATCCATATGTTATGCAGTAAAATAAGTCACACAACAATCATCCCACCTAGACCTGTATTATCAATTGTGTTGTGTTCTTTGTAGTGGGCARGGTATGTCAGATGTTTGTCTCAATGTATCCTCTGGGACTTTAATAAGACAAAGRTCAGGATTGCATGTTCAAGACAGTAAATTCTTACCAGCATCTGGGTGTCTTTTGCTTTCCCCGGCTAATCTATGGAGTAGAAGTCTTGAGAGGTAAGMCATTGAAGCCAAGTGCCATTGTATATATTATTCACAAAACATTTAAAAAAATCAAAGTAGTCGCTTGATACAAATGGTATGTGAACTATAAGATTGATGTTGAACTAATTCGTGATGGTTAATCTTTGTCCTGCTAAAGACCATTAATTCTAAAAAATATTTCAGATTTTCAAGAGACAATGAGCTGTTTGATGATATGTATCAGAACTTTGGSAGACCAGCATTTAATATCTTACTKAAAGGTAATGAGAGGCGTTGCCATTGACTGATATTTTGATTAGTTGAATAAGTGGTGGATTGATTGAGTGCTGATAGTTTGGTTGATAAATTTGATTGGAAATATGAATGCATCATAAGGAGTAATAAAATGAATTAAGTACTTTATAATTCTGTGTAAATATTTATATGAAATAAGCCAATGAACAAAATACAAGATTATAATKAATGAATCAACCTATGTATTGACACTAAAATCCAATTTTTCAGAATTTATTTTTGGAACATCACTCAAACATACTGGTTTATATCCCAAGTTACAAGGTTTTGGTCCCAATAATACTATAAACTATGCTGTTACATTGGTAATGACAACAAATGAGCGCAGGTGAATAATAGTTACTTAGTATAGGAACCTTTTACATTTAATGAATGTTTTTTTCAATGAAAAAAATTAGAAAAAATATACATAATTAAGCCAATTTACACAAAACACTCACATGTGACATCCTTAATAATATTAATATAATATTAATATTCAATTATTATTTGAATTGGAGGTCAGTTACATGCACCTTCCAGGTTTCCATAGTTATGATTATCATCTCAAATATAAAAAGTTTTACACTTATTAATTTGATATTTGTTGTAGATATTTAGCTGCATTGAAGAAAAAATTGCAAAATATATACCCAGAATCAGTACAATCAAGAAATTCTACTGAGAACAAAATTGACAATAAAGTGCTCCATATCTACTATAAGGTAGGTAA